GGCTTTAGAACCCGCAGAAGGGGTGATTGGCGTCCCTTGGCCGCAAGCTCTCAAAGGAACAAATGGAGGTGTGGTTTTGAGGGTGTCCAAATTCCTATTTGCTTGAGGCATACAAACATGCTGCTGGCTTTTTCAGGCACCCAGCAAGAGGGCCCCAAGTCCACAGGTGCATTGCCGAATCAATAGGATTGGGGGGCTAGTATCGACTGCAATATCAGCTGAAGTTTGGAGTGTTTGATACATATTGAAACAACTCGGGGTAGTTCAGAGGCTGCCTTTCCAAAAGGACTGCTCACAGGGGACATCTTACCATCCTCCGTGTTGCTGGGAGGTTTTGCGGGGCCCAAGTTGGCATTCAAGAACCATTCAAATCATGATCAAAGAAATAGAAGGGGCAGCAAAATGAAGGAAAAGAGTCAAAAGACAAGGGAAACTGGTGAAAGATATGGCAGCCGCCTTCTCTTTGCGACAAACCCCGAGGACACATCATTCCGTCACGGCCAACGCGAACCGCACCAGCGTCCACATCAACCAGAAGGAGCAACGGCTCTCCGATTGACCGGTCCCTGAAAACGAGCCCTTGTTCAGACAGTTGCCCAGCTCTAGTTCCCTTCCTGTGGGTTTTTCCAGGTTTTGGCCATCGCCTTTGGGTGAGTTCCCATATGTCGAAGAGCGAAGCCTGGAGAAACCGGCTCCAGAAACAGGAAGTCTTGAAGCCAGTGACACCTGTTTGTTTCGGGTTGCTCCTTGGACATTCTTTGCAAGGAAAGCTTCGTTGGCTAAAAGGTGAGGCTCAGAGAATGGCCTTCCAGACGGAAGTGCAGAGATTTTTCGGCCGGCCAGCTGAAGAGATTCGAGTTTGTCGTTTGTCTCTCTGAAAACATCTATGTCCCCTAGTGCCCTTTGACCAACTTTTTTTGGGGAGGGTTCCCCTACTAAAATCGACTACACAAAAAGTTGTTCTAACCTCTCTACTGGAGGACCTAGACATGTTGAAAGATCCCTTGAAGAGGGCTTCCTTCGGTTTCCTGTCAAGCCTCAAACACCGAAGTCTCGCGGGAAGCGGAAGCCGCTGGAAGCTTAGGGGCCTTGTGCTTGCTTCTTACCATTTGGTAATACACGAGAAGAGTCAGTGATACTTAGTACTGCTTGTACTGGTTGAAGACAACTTCTCAAAAATCATTCGAAATGGCTGAGGACAATGTTTTTACAAGTTAACACGCAGAACACAATGGGATGAAAGCCATTAGGCTTAGGCGGAGAATTGGTTGAACGGTTAAACTGTGCGTCTGGAAACCGGTAGGACTCACGAATCAAGAGGACATGGATCCGTAGATTCCATCGATTACTCTAACTCACATAGGTATTCTCCGAGGGCCCTCAATGGTTGGGTGGGTGTCCTTTGTGTTTCCCTACAAATTGCCCCATAAAAGCAGTACCCTCAAAACAAGGCCCACTCACGTGGAATCTCTTTCGATGCAATTCCCAAAAGGAGGATCCTCTAGAAATGAATCGTTTTTTGTTTGGTTCCAAGTTCGCAGGGCTTTGTGTACTTCCCTTGGATCTATGCATCACCTTTGATTGGAAGTGAGTTGCCTTTTCCTCTATCCAGGTATCACCGAAGTGGCGGTTTGGACTGGAGGGTTTGGGGATTTGAAGCCCTGGTTCTTGTAAAATGGGACACCGGGCTCCAAACTACCAAGCAGAGTGAAGCTGATGTAAGTGAGGTTCCTAACAACAACACGGTTTCCCTGGTTCTTGTAAAATGGGACACCACCTAACCACTAAACCACCTGCGGTTCCTAACAACAGCACGGTTTCCTTGTGCTTCGATGCGTGGAGCGAGAAAGAAAAGAAAGAAGACGAGACGCGTTCGCGCGCCTCGGTTGATCCTCGCCAGTCTCGTTTCGGCATCGGGGACGTATACTTCTTGGCCATCAGCATGGGGAAGTGTGAGGTCATCGTGGATGACGCCTGGGGCCCCGAGCAGTCGCTTCACCAATTGGCATGTTTTTTTCTAGGTCCCCCAGTGCCCGTTTCCCGTTTCTTTCTTGGGGGAGGATTCCCCTAAAATACACTACAGCAAAAGGTTGGTACCCTTATTCTAACCTCTCTACTGGAGGACCTAGTTGTGAGTGATGAGCTTGTTTGCTGTTGTTTTGTTTTTGAGGTAGCTTTTAGTTGCTTTAGTTTGGTTGATTTTTGGTGTGTTGTTTCTTTTTTTTCTTTTTTTCAATTTCTGATCATTGTTGGTGGCTGCACGTGAAACAAGGCTTCTTGCCTACACGCGAAGGACTGGAAAGATGCGCAGGGAAAGCCATGGCTAAAGAAGCCGCTGGGTGTTTTCAAAGGAATCCATGCCCTAAAATGGCAAGGGTGTCCTGTTGGTTTCCGTTGAAACACACATTTTATCAGTTTGTTTTTTTCACATAAGATTGTGGGTGTCTTTTTTTGGGTTGGTACCCTTTTCGGATGTTGCTTTTCCTTGGGAAACCAAATTGGAACACCACCCAAAGAGGGGCTCCCCCATACACACCCATGTGTCACAATCGTGGTTTAGTTGAGAAACATTTGATTTTTGCTTATTGTGGTTTAGTGGTTGAGATCCCCACTTGACTGCTAAAATCTAAATGTTTGCTCCCCTAACGTCAACCAAGTCGTTGGGGGTGGATCGGTCCCATCGAATGGGAAGCCTGGCGGCAGGGGACTTGATTGCCGCGTGCTAACCTTGCCTCAAATGAGAGGGGCCTGCTGGGTGCATGCTTCTGCTTCACCAGCCACTAGTCACTTCTAAAAATATGAACCACTCAGTTGCTGGTGAGTCTTACAAGCCTAGCCAAAAGGAGTGTTTATTGTAGTTTTCCGCTTTCTTGGACCAAACCTAGGTGCAAGAAGTCAGTCAAGGAGTCCTTTGCTTAGGATAGACCCATGGACAGCCAGACCACCCCCTCGCAATGTTGTTGGATGCCGGATCGACAGGTGAAGCGCTTGTCCGAAGACAAAGTGCACCTGGAGTCCGGAAGAGAGCTGCAGGCGTTTCTCGGGTTTCTCAGACCCAAGGAAACGTTGGATCTGTCGATGTTTTTTGGGGGACCCCGCAGAACTTTGGTGGTTTTCCTCTCTTGGTGTCCCTTGAAACTAACAAACATTGGGGTACCCTTGTACCAAAATAAAAGAACTGTCCTTTTTTGGAAGACCATTAGAGTGCAACGTACTTGGTGAAGTCAAATGGGGCAAGGTTCGGGCGCCTGACATGCTGTCTAGAAGTTGTGTGGGAGTCAACGTGATTGCTGGGGGGGGGGGCGGAGGAGATTTTCAGTGCCAGTTTCCCTTAGGGTTGCTCTTTGGGCCGTTCCTAGCAAAAGCCCCATTGACCCGTTTGGGTAGGAACTTGAACTCTGTACTTTGGCTTGGGTAAAAACCAGGGGCCAACTTTCTCGATTGAACCCAGTGGGGCTTCAGGGACTCAGGTTGGATGCAAGGTCTGCGCGTTGCCGCGACCGTTCAGTGGATGCCTTCGAACACGGCACCTAAATGAATTACTTGAACACTAAGCTGTTTCAAGACTGGTTGAATCGTTTGGGGTTTGGGCATCCACTTGCGGAAGCAAGTGGATAAGTGGATGGGGTTGGAGTTTGGGGGTTGGGGTCTGCTGTTGCACTGACCACTGTAGAGAGATACTTCCTGACGACGCTTCAGAAGGAATGAGGAAAACCCACAACACATGCCCCCCAAACGAAGATTCCTGAAAGATGATGGCTGTTTGGGCTCGTCAATCTGCAGGAGAGCAAGTGAGAGAGATTCAGTTTGAGAAGCACTTTCAACATAGAGGAACAGTTCAACAATTCCCTCCAAGTCGTTCCTGCTTTCCTCTGGTGCCCCTTTCAGAACCTCACTCCGATCGGGTCCAAAGGGAGCAATTCCGATTTTTTGTGTCGCCCCGGCAACATAAGCCACTGGGCCTGGTTATTTTCTGAAACGAAGGGATGATTCCATTTGGGAACCCCAAAACCGGTGTTTTGAACTTGTGTGTGTGTTGCTTCAAGAACAGGGCTTTGCCGCGTTGCAGTACCGTTCTATGCCTAAAACACGGTACGGGTCGCTATAGTTCCCAGTGTTATTTTGAACATCATCCCTTCGGTGGAGTGTTGCTGGATGGTTACAAGATGGTGATCTATTCATGTTGACCCCAGATAAATCAACCCCTGTTTATTAATATGGGGGGTGTTCCCCTCCAAAAGTGATAAATCCCCACCAAACTAAATCCCCACATTTCACCCAGGTTGACACCCACCTATTACTAAGCAGATTGGTTTATTAATCCCGGGTGAACATTCTCAGGTTGCGGAGGGCATGGGGGCTGAAAATTCAGTGTCTTCGTGCTTTCCTCGTGGTTTCCCTTATCACAGATCCGTGTCTTGTTATGGGGGGACAAACAAATAGTGTCCGTGGTGCATGTTTTCGCGGCACTGTGAAACCAGTAAGGGTCAAAACTGTGTTCCCCCGCACCCATTGGGATACCCACCTATGGAACATATAAGGGTCATATCCTTCAACATCAAGTACCCACAAAAGGTGTCAGTGGTGCCGTTTTTTTTTGCCCCACCGGACATCCACAGAAGTTTGGAGCTTTGGGGTGGGAAGATCCGCGTCTCGTTCGGTGAGGTGCAGACGATTCTGAAGGTCTTCGGCTTCACAGGGCTCTACGAGGAGGGGTGAAGAGAGCTATTAGACGGGCGAATGATCAGGTGACCCTGAAGAGGGCTCCTTAAACGAAATTCATTTTGCAACCATTTGAAACATGTGGCTTTTTCAACACCAAAATAAAGTGGAAACCAGCATTTCCAAGTCGCAATGTTCAGGTGTATAGTGTAAGGATTTTATTGCTGAATCGGTGGTTTGGATTTCTGGTTTAAGGATGTGAACCCCTTCTTGTAGAAGGTTTGCATGGGAAACCTCGCCCGAACCGAACCTCCCCTGACTTGGTGGTTTGGATTTGGATTTGAGCGGGTCCCTGGTTCTTGCAGAGGGTTTGCATGGTAACCCCTCCATTTCACCGAACCCAAACCACCAATCCAAACCACCAATCGGAGGGAAGCTGACATGAGAAATGGCATGACTCCGAAAAGCCATCGCCTATGGTTTCCCTTAAGGCGATCCCCAAGCGGTTCATTCAAAAAAAACGGTCTCAGATCATTAGCCAATGAGCTTGCCGGTTTTGGGAATGAACCGTTTGGGGATCCCCTTAAGAGAAACCTGTACCATGATGGTTTTCAGGAGTCATTCCATTTCTCATTCCCTGCTGAGAACCAGCAAGTGATTCAAGGCAAGGGTCGCTTGCCTGTTGCTTCGCCTTGTTATGTGTACATGAACCACAAGATGTGGCTGGCAAGGAAATAGCAAAAGCCAGACCCCTAGGTGTGTTTGTTGTGCTGTTTAGCTTCCGTCATGTCTCAGCAGGGCAAAGATAAGTACTTGTATACCAGGGTTGGGAAGACACGGGAGGCCAATAAAAGGGCAATTAGCAATATGGGCACGCTTGGATGCATTAGTCCCATGGGGAGTAAACGGGCATCGGCAACCCTTGGGGTTCTGGCTTAGCCAGATCATGAGTCTAGACTGTCAAGACCTTCCTCCTTTTTCGGGAGGCATGACCATGACCCAAGGAGGCTAAACCATGAAACCAAAGCGGAATCAGCATGATGTCTAAAGGGATGACATCAGTTATTGCTCTTTAATCTTTGACCAACAGCATCCAATAGATAGGGGTTGCACAGGGGCCAACTAGGGCACAATTCTTCCAAATTCGATAGAGTATTCTTATTCCACGTTTCGTTCGCAGCACCTCATTGGCATCGAATACCTTGCTTGTAGCCTAGCTGCGACTCTTGGTAACTTCATTCTGCTGAAAAGTGCGGTCCCTTTTCAAAATGCCCACATGCATCTCCCTCAGCCAAGCAGACAGGTTGGTAGGACTCAAGCGTGCAGGAGGTTGGCGACATGGGTTGTGGATGGTTGTGGCATGTGCTCAAAAGTCATGGAATCACCTGTCAGGTAACCTTATTTTGTGGTGGTTGGGGATTGAAACCCCTGGGTCTTGTAGATTGAGACCACCAATTGAGGGCAAGCTGAAGTTGTACCCGCCGGTCAGCGAGGGAGAGACAGCGCCAGGTGGATCGATTGCTGAAGATCAAAACCATGACCGGCTGGTGGGCGTGCCTCTCAGAGTGAGCTTTCCGGGTGCTGTGAAGGGAGGGGCTCGCTGCCAGGGGTTGATTCGGCGATTCAACCTCTGCCACGGCGATTCAACCCCTTGTGAAGTCAGTTTGAACCACTACTGCAAAAAACAGCCTCCTGTAAGGCGTCCCTTTTGAAAACGCCGGCTGCGTCCTTATTGGAACACATGTTGCCCAGCCCTGTGTATTTCCCGCAAGGGCGCCTTCAATCCTTCCGACACATGAATTGGTGTGACTGAGTCGACGATGAATCTCCATTAAATCTACAAAAGGCGATCCTCCTTTTCTTTGCTCGGGAAGAGCAGGCCCGGGATCTCCTCTAAACGCGGATCTCTTGAAACCCGCTGACCGGGCAGGGAGAGTGAATCCGGACAGGCAAGAGCTGGCAAGCTTCGGCTGCTTTCTTTCCATCGAGGCAAAGGTCCTTAGAGTGGTAAGTGCATCCACTGGAAGGCCAACCATTTGCCAACCACTGGGCTGCAAGTTGTGAAGTCGCTGACAAATCCCCAGCCCAGTGGCAAAGTGGCAGTGGCCCCTTGTTTCAATTGGGTGTTTGTTTCCCAAGTAGAGCACCCCGAAGAATGCGTTTCCTGGTGGTAAAACCATCAAGGTGGGTTCCCCGTTCGTGCGTTTCTCTCCAACATCAAGCCTGTAGAAGGGGCCCACCGGATTTTGATCGATTCATTGGGATTCGGTTGCAACGAGCTCCGTTTCTGGGACTGAGGAAAGGTCCCAGTCTCCTCCAAGCCTGGACAGCAATTGTGATCTCTTTAGCCATTCTTCACCCCTCCCAGCCATCCCCAACTTGGGGCAACCATCCCCAACCTGGGGGACGTTTAATTTCTGATAGCCTGCTATCGGATTCACAGCTCGATGCTTCGCTGGAAATGGTCCTGGTTCCAATCGAAGACCAGTGACTCTGCGCCCATAGGTCCGGGCCAGTTGGTCCATCTGGCAGGTGACAAGGAGAAAACTGCACTGGATTGCTTACGAAAACCGGAACGAAGGTTTGGTGAATCTGAGCAAGAGGGGGGCCATGACTCTCAGCTGAGGGTTGGGGAATGAACCAGAAGCGGCTCCTCAGGGAAACTAGACGGAGATGGCTTATACTGCAGGGGTCGCTCCAACATGCTTTCCAGCTTGGCATTTTTTTCAAATTGCATTTCGATGTGCGTTTGGTTTTGGATGTCGAGAATCCGGAAAGTGCTCATTTTCTGGCAAGTTACATGTGTGGGACGTCGAAGAGCTTTTCATGTGTTTGCGGTGCTTCGCGGAGACACCCAAGGATCCCTGAGTACCTTCTGATGTACGAGATCAAAAAGGTACCTGCTGATGAGAAGGGGGTCAAAGAGGGGCTTGGTACATCACGAGTTATCAAGAGACCCTTGGGGTACCTCAAAATGGCTCCATGTGGGTCAAGGCCGAGGGGGACAACCGCCGGTACGTTGCCAGCGAGAATCCTGGCGTCAGGGACTCAGGGGGCTTGATGGGTTCGGTTTCGGGCAATGCATGCTCGGTTCTCGATTTCCCCAACACAAACCCCAACAAATCCATCAACAAATCCAGCAACAAACAGACACCTTTGTCATGCCTGCAATGTGTTCAATCCAGTATGTCATGAAACAACATTAGTCAAAATGATTGGAGAGTTGTAAGCGTTCCTAAACCGATGCGGGATCCTACAACTACTCATTGCAACGCAGCGCTCCGATTTCTTCAGGAAGAACAACAACAACTTGTTGCGGAAAAAAAACAACAAAACACGTCAGCATGATATTTGTGTTATGAATGCCTTCCCAATGCATGAGTGCTTTGCAGAGGGTCCCGGAAAGATGGGTTTGACGAGTGAACAGGGGTCCGGTGGTACCTAACAGTGTGCCTATGGGAACCCTCTCGGAGTTCTCTCCTGCCATTTGGTTTCCGATGAACACCCTTAAAAAGAAGGCCATCGGAAAAGAAAGCAACAGGCATCCAGCAGAAGTTCCCTTACGAAGCCCAAGAAGTATCCCCAGGCCTCAAACATCTGAATGTTGACCCTTTAAATGCACCACACCCACCACCCACCTCACCCACCCCACACCCCACACCCCGCACACCCACACCCACACCCCACCCAACCCCACACACCCAAACACCCACACACGCACACCCGCCCATAAACTCCTCACCCTGAAGTTGCCCCTTGGTACCTTGGGATATGCGAACCCCCTTCTGGATCGGGGTTGTTTCGAGCACACACCTGAGGCAGGTCCCTTTCTTACGGATGCCTGAATTCAGTCGGATGAAACGTAATAAACGGTGCTCTTTTTGTTTTGCCAAGTACGTCGTACTTTGACCTCCTGGTTGACCCCGCACATCCTCATAAGGCCCTTTTTTGATCCAGTCTTGACATCTTCACGTGCCAAATAGCCCGATCAAGTTCCCTGCAGACGACCAAAAGGTCATGTATCATGTTGGTGTGTTTTTTCTCCCCGAACCGCTGTTTCAATTGCGATTCCAGATATGTATATATATATATATTATAATAGACAAGGGAGCATGGAGCTTTATATACCCCTGACACAAATCTTATATACTCGTGGCTGCCAGTTGTTCCCTTGGCTTTGGGTCAAAAGCGAGGTCTATGCCGCAAACTTTGCGAGCACCAGCCTCTCGCCGGGCCCGCGCCCTCAGGGGAAAGCACAGAAGTTCAAATGGGTATGGGTCAAAATTAAACCACCAGGGGACCACATATTTTGGTCCATGTGTCCACTTGCCAGGGTTCCATTTGGGGTACCTATTTTTGACCCACAGCCAAATGGAAACCAGAAGAAACCGAATGTTGACCTCATACTAATCAACCTCAGCTTATTCATAGGGGGTGTCCCTGGCTTGAGCGGGGAATCATGACTTTGGGAGGGAACACCCCCTATTAATATATGATTAATATGGGGCCAACATTATCCCCATCTTAGAGAAAGCAAAAGGACCCATTTTGTGTCATGCGTTCTGTTGTTTGCCTTTGCTAATGGGGATGCAAGCGGGTGTTTGGAAACATATAGAAACACTTGGAGCAAGCAGATACCTGTCAACAAGGTTGCTCCGCGCCGATTTCATGGGGACCCGGCTTTCTTTTGCGAACTGGAAGTCAAAACACACTGGCAAACGTTCGAACATTGACGTTCTAGCCTCGTGATGGGTCCATTGGCAGCCCCCTCCCTTTGTCAGGTCGGAATTGAGAGAATGACTGATCGTTTATTGGTACCCTGAGGACCAGAGGCCGGGGGTTCCGGCCACACGCACAAACTCCCAAAAAAAAGCACGGGTCAAGACCACCCGGCGATTCCTACTGCGACAGAAAACTCTGCACCAAATGAGATAGCCAAAGCTCGTAATGGGAGAAACCACTTGCCAACTGATGCTTCAAGTGGATTTTGTCCACCGTACCCTTTTCCAACCATGGAAATGGACGGGCTCAGCCCCAAAAGGATAGCAGCCTTCCAAAACTCCTCTTTCGCGTGCCTCCAGCTACCAGTATAGCAGGTAACCAGATTTCACCTCAAGGATTGACATGACGGTTTCCCCCCTGATTACCATACTTGTTGGTGAAAACTGGAAGCACGTGGTCCACTTCCATGATTGTCTCCTGAGTTCCTGGCCTTCAGACTTTTGGGGAAGACCATTTTTGTGGCACAAGTTCAGAGTTTCTTGGCCAATCCACTCAGGAAGTGAGTAGGGGAACTCTAGGGAGTGACTCAAGACACCTTGTGACCAGGGTGTTTGGCCTGTCTTAGGTCCTCTCTCTGAGTTCTTGAGAGCCATGAGAAAATCTTTACGTCCGAGGTGCGTTGGGCTGGAGTCAGCAGGCGCCATCGGACTCAGGGTTTCAAAGGAACCCAGATCCAGTTGGGTGTATCGTTTTTAGGGGACCCCCCGGTTTGTCTTTCGGTGTTCCTTTAAAACCGCAGAAAAGGACGTGCCCGCAAAAAAGGAACACCAGCTTGGATGTATATAAAGGGGTTCCTTTGAAGTGTCGTCAACGTCAACGCGCATAAGGTACTAAGAGACTCGGGAAGGGCATGGCCATGGCTTGTGATGGAAATCCCGGATCAATAAACCACTGTTGATTAGGGTGGCTTGCCGTTTTCAGTCAGAATCCTTCACTTTTCTGCGCACCTTATATTAGTGGGATGGGACAACGTGTTTATTACTCTGGGATTCTGAATTATGCCCACTTCCCGATTTGGACTTGACGCTCGTTGGGAAGACCATTCTGGTGGCCGGCATGGTTTGACCAATCAGGAAGTGATAAGTATGAAGGGCTGAGTCAATACTCTTGGTTGACTCCTAATTACATCAAGACAATATTTGGCTGCGAGTCAATTTGTAAGGTCCGGAACAGGGTCCGGAACCCACATGCGATCCAGACCTCCGTTCCAGACCTCCGTTCCAGACCTTGCCTAGAAACATGTTCCAGACCTTCCGTTCCAGACCTTGTTTATGTATATTTATTTCTAGAGTATTGATTCAGATGGTCGTTCTTTGTCGGGTGTGCAAGTGCAATGGCCAAGGCTGAGATGGCGTGCAGCAAGAAAGAAGGAGCAAAGGAGCAAGAAAGAAGGAGAAAGAAATGAAGAAAGGAGTATCGGTGTTCCGGAACTTTGGTTCGGTTCGGTGCGATACAATTCCGCCGCTTTCGATACGATACGGTAACGGTTCGACACCGTTCTCGGTTGAAACGACCATGTTTACATGCGGCTTGCTAGCATTCCAAAGTGCAAGCCACTCGCGTAACCGTTCCAGACCCCGTTCCAGACCCGTTCCACACGTGTTCCAGACGCAGCGGAGCAATTTGCCACCAAGTCCACATGCACACACATGCGCTTCTTACGTGGCCCGCCACCCAAGAAGCCTTCAAGGACGACATGTGCCAGGGCTTTGGATTGAAGGATACCCTGCATCGGCTTGCGCATCGGTGGACATCGGCCTTGTGCATCGGCTGGCGCGCGTGGCGGGCGTGACTACAGCGCATCGGTGTCCCAATGACGCGAGGGTGGCAACGATGGCGGCGCGCCCCTAGTCGTTTCATCCATCCATCTACCCATCCATCCATTCATCCATCCATCTATCCATCTTACTCTAAATGAACGTGTGCTTGAGGACTCCACGCATGTCCTCCCAGAGCTCCGGAACAAGCGACCTCCACACGTCCGCGTCACCGCGGAACGTTCCACACCAGAATATTGACCCACACCCATTTTGTTTTGCAGTACCCAATAACCCCATCCTCGATGAACCCCATGGGCAAACCGAACCTTACAAAAGTCTGGCTTTCTACTGTGAATGGACGAAATCCTGCACCACCGAAGAACCCCTGGAAGGATTATTCCCCCGTAAATATCAGTTTCCCATCGCTTCAAAGTGGTGCAGGAGTTTGTCCATCCACAGTGTTACCCAGTTGTACTAAGCAAAACCCCATTTGAACAAAAAAGAAAGCGGCACGCGGAGTCCAGAGGAAAGTGTGATGTAACATTGCCCTCTCTCATCCGTAAACCATGGAATTGCTTCACGATGTGAGAGAGAGCAGACAAGAAGCAGCGAATGCTTAAATCTCTGAACGAGAGAGAAAGAGAGCGGTCAGCAAATGTGCTTGTTTGCTTCGTGGCACAGTTGTTTTATCGTGTTTGATAAAACCACTTTTCCCAATCTCTTTGCTCCAGCGCACGAGAATGGCGCGAGGAGGGGCGGGGGGTAAAAGAGAGAGAGAGAGAGAGACAGAGAGAGAGAGAGGAGGAGCGAGGGAGAGGAAAGAGAGAGAGAGAGAGAGAAACGAGCAACAATAAAGCCACGAATGCCATGAAAGTAAGTGTTCAAAGTAAGCCAGAATCAAGCCTAGGGTCGAAATAATTGTGCATGCAAATCTTCTCCAAAGGAGTGCACAAAAGGATGGGTGGAGTTGTTGGTTGTTGAGCCGGGACTGCCCAAAGTTCGCACTTGGCTGGCAGGCAACGCACATGATGTGGTTCCCCAAGGACTGGTCGGAAGCCTAGCCTGAGCGATCCTGAGCGCCTCGCTGTGGCAATGTGCAGTTGGGGCCCTTGAGTTCAGGAGAGTCAAAGTCGGCCCCGCGAAGTGCTCATGACCCTTCAATCAAGTGTTGTATGGATTAATCACCCCGGAGGACCGCATAGTCACAGGAATCCGCCCAAAAAGGCTTGTGACAAGGCGGCTTGTGTCCGCCAGGACCGCCTGTGATTTTCTTGGACGGTTGGATTCATCCGAAACATCGGCGCCTCTCTCTTCCTCTCTCTCTATTTCTCTCTCTCTCTCTCTCTCGCTCTGTCTCTCGGGGGGGTTGGTCAGCTTTGCATTTTGTACGCTTTTTCATCAACTCTTTTGGGCGAACCGCTATTGCCGAATCACTGTTTGCATCAACTCAAATTCACAACATCAATATGAATGTTTCTCAGAATCATGGTCGCCTACTATCCCCAGTGTTTTTTGCTTGTTTGTTTGTTTGTTTGTCAAGTTTCCCTAAACATCACGTTCTAGTTGCCACATTTAGATGAACATCCTCTTGGCGGGGTGCTGCGGCAAACATCGGCAGCCCAGAGCGAACTTCTAGTGCCTTGGATCGGTGCCTGTTGATCAAGTCCTTTGGTTTCAAGTGCTGACGGACGAAATCCGTTCGCACCACCGAATAAACCGTGGGAAACACTTTTTGGTTGGTATTTACAGGGGAAACCTATGAAACCTATTTACAGGGGAAACAACCATGGGAAACCTACTTACATGGGAATCATCAATTCAGGGTTTCTGAGTTGGGGCGAAATGGATTTTGTCCATCCACAGTATGGCAAAGTGACATGAACACCCAAAATGGGCCTTTCAAAGGAGATTCAACATGAACCATGAATCCGGGCCAACCCCAAGAGGTGTTTTGACGCGCAGGTGATTAGGTAACCCTGAATTGGTGCTCTAAATTTGTAAAATTTTCTGTCTAAGAACAGATTACTCAATGAAATCTGACAACCAACAGATTAACCCTTTTCGAACAATCATATTTAATATTAATACATCTATTGTGGGCCCAAAGTGTAGAGTTTGATTCTCAAGAGCCAATAATAAGCATAAGTTGTTGAAGGTTTCCTGCATAAACCCCCCGCGGATCGAGTCCCTGTTCCTCAACCTTTGGAAATGAGTATTTACCTGAGCTGATCCGGATCTGTAAATTGGGACACCGAATCAAAGTTGATCAACCGGGCTTCAGCTTCTCAGGAGCTAGGCTGGAACCATTTACAAATCAAGAAACTCCCGTTGTCAACCACGTGCTTAGCGCGTAAAAACTGGAGGTACAATTTTCCGGTTACTCCCCTAACGTCCAATCCACCAATCCAAACCACTTGAGGGGGTATCTGACATAAGACACAACACATAAACCATGAACTCACTACCTGCGTTTACTTGCTCCTTCCCCATTCTCTTCAGGCATCCTTTTCTTCGAAAACTCGGGCAACCCTCTGTCAAAATGTGTGGAATCTAAAGAGATTGATGGATGGAAAGCACGGGGAATCAACCATCATGCAAAACCTGGAAGTATGCTGGTTACTTGCTATAGCGTTTTTTAATTCACTTCCTGAGTTGGACTTTACACTTTTTGGGGTTGGATCATTTTGGTGAATAGCAAGTTCACACGTTCTTTGGCCACTCCACTCGGGAGCTTGGAAGCCAACGCCCGAGGAATCGGCTGGTGGCCTCCGGGGCCTTGCCCAGCAACAAGGCGGACGACGAGATCTCTCGGCCCGAAGCCCAAAAGTCGCGAAGTCGGGACAGCCGGGTTGTGTTGACACCCCCCGCCAAAGCAACGCAAACAACAAAATGCAAAAAGCGGTTCTTTTTTGTTTTTGCCTCTCCGTGTTTTTTTTGGTAGGGCACAAGTTTCCTGTCTTTTCCATGTTGCTTGCCTCTTCTTAATACAGTTTGCTTCTTTGTGGTTGTCGGTTTTTGCTGGTTGAAATCTTTAGTTTAGAGTGCCCCCTTTGCCCCCTTGTTGTTTTGCGTCATGAAAGATTGGCCCACACCATTCTCAGTATGTTTGTGTGATTGTTGTTTTCCTCGGGGAGGGTGTCCCTTTGAAATCGCCCCCAAACTTATATTTGTGCTTCTTCTACGCAATGTTCACCACACCTAGCTTTGACAGGGTTTTGTATGCTTCCCACTTTTCACTTCCAGAGAAATCCCTAGGTTCATTCCCAAAGCCGTGTTGATTGGCTGCTGAAAACCACCAAGTTGTTGCCCACTGCGCCGGCACGTCATCCGCTCTAGGCCTGCCTACGTGTTGGATGCCGTTACCGCCTTGCTGGGGGCCTCAGCGACTTTTTCGCTAGCAACAGCAACTGGGTGCGTCTTTTGTAGGGGACAATCAAATGAGGAGTTTCCCACAAAAACGGTGCCCCAGACAAAAAAAGAAGATGAAGACACCTTTGCATGTTGTTTCACCCGCTTGCCTACCACAATGGCCTGGAAGCAAAGGGACAATTCGATCCCTTCATTAGAGTCGAGCCGCGGGCAGTTTTCAAGGCAAAGCAACGAGAAACCGTCGCATAAGTTGCATGGGGTCCAGAGCGTCCGGCCTTCAGATTGCTAAAAAAAACTTAGACCTCAACCGAGAGGTTGGTGATTCCATTTGCTTTGCAAAACAGTAGGAGCCAATAATTGGGGGGTCAGACCTCCCGTTTTTGGCGGTTCTGACCTCTTCAGGAGAAAATTAAAAACACGAAAAGGGATCTGGCGAAGGATTACCTACCGTGCTGGCTTGCCCGCGATCCGCTTTAGGCCCAAGAATTAAGCCATGTGATTAGCCGTTGGAACAATTCCAACCCCTCTGACATTTCACAGTGTCCAATTGGAGGCGGCCCAGTAAAATTGGTACCAAGACAGGTCCCACTCCGCACATGTAACCTCGCCCTTTCGCTCTCTTTAGTCCCTTGGGCACAGGGGATTCAAGGGCTGACATGTCGGCTGGGAGCTCAACCCCAACGACCCTTCCAACCAAATGGTCAGATGCACCAAGCAAATGGCAACGTAGTACAGGTCCAGGAAGGAACAAGGCTGGATTCTCACTGTGTTGCCAATTAACCTCCCCTTTAAGAAGAATCGGAAATTGGGAAGGCTGTGCAGTGGTATGACAAAGGGCCATTACCACAGGCCTGCGCAGGACTTTCACGTTTCGGTACTCGAAGCAATGCCCTGCATAGCCCCGCCCCCTTGAACATGCAATTGCTGAGCAGGGTTTTGACCCCCTGTATTCCATTTATAGTTGCATGTTTTGTCTTGTGGTTGGGAGATCAGATGAATGAACTTGGGGGACCTAAGCCCCACCCCCCTCGCGGATTTGGCAAGAGTTGTTTGCAGGAAGCAAAGCAGCATATCGTTCTTCCTTTGAACTCTCTTTTCGACAAACCCAAAAAAGGATCCCCGCAACAAGAAGGTGTCCCTACCCCGCGCCGGCTTCTTGCACCCCGGTGCTTGGGACCCACCCCAAACAGGTTCCTTGCACAGCGAGGTCCATGCAGTTCATGATTCCCACGATTTGCCCAGCGCTGGGTACGGGTCCTCAGCGATGGCTCGACGGCTCGGTTGTTTGTTTGCCCTTGCTGGTTTTAAAGGGAATCTATCGCTACTGGAAATATGTCTTTTTTCCAGGGGGCTGACACAAATGGAAGACCACTATCGTCGAAACCAACAGGGGGCCAACATGTCGGCTGTCTCAGAATGTGGGTCCCTCCAAATGGTTTGTTCCCTTTTGGTCTTTAAGATTCCTGAAGCAGGGTACCAGCTTGCTACTCAAAGGCCGATCTTTCAGACTATTAAATGACAATGTGGGTAAAGGGTCGTGGTTCTGGGAGAATAGTTTTTCTGTTTTTTCCCTCGGCCACCAAGGGAATCCCCTAAGTGATCAATGGCAAGGAGCCAATGTTGGTGGGGACTTCCCATGGGTTCACTTCGTGTGCCTGTGGCACTCTTCGGTGCTTGGGTTCTTCAGCTAAAATGTTCGAGCGCTCGCTCCGGCCTGAGAAGTGCTCCATGGGCTTCCCGGTGCAAAAGACAATTGAAATAAAGGTTACCTATTTGGGTGATCAAGGGTTGCTTGTAATGCATATATATATATATACATATGTGTATACATATACATATATATATATATATATATATATCAAAGATTTTGGGAACTGCCCTTGGGAGCTGTCCTCATATATTGTCTTATATAGGTGTACTGTAGGCACTAATGTTGACTCATATTTCCCTGAAATAGTCCTTGTATTTCATGGGTTACATATTCTAAGCAGTCACTGGCCCCAGTCAACATGTTCCATCCTGCCATCTCACTTTGTCTGTCAGCCTGGGAGCCTTCAAAAAGTGCCAGTCTGTCTACCAAAGGCCTTGAGCCAGCAGTGGCAGAGGGGCCTTCCCCTAGGTGTCCTTTTGGAAGAGTAGATGGCATTGGCCAATTCTGGCGCACACCGACTCTGAACCAGGTTTGATTGACAAATCGCTTGAACAAAGTGGTGGGCAGGCCCCGCGGCCACGCAGCTGTAGTAACGAACTTCCTTTCAAATTCCGAGTGCTGACTTCGAGTGCCAACCTGACTCACTTCAGTTGTTGGCTTGTTCGAAACCCAGCCAAACCCAGCCCTAAACACCCCCGAGATAGTCAAACATAGGGGGTAAGTTAAAAAGAACCACGGACCACGTGAATTTACAAGTGATTGAACTTACCTCGTAAGTTTTGAGGCCGGCCAAAAAAATCAAGAAACCGTTTTGAGCCCCCCGCCCCCCAAACAACCCCTTGGCTTTCAGCCCCACAGAACGGTGTGCTTTGAAGGTCCCGCCCCCCAAAAAGAACAAACACAACAACCATGAAGAAGGTGTGAGGGTCCCTGCCAAAAGAACAGGAATAACAACTATAAGGTTCGAGGGTTCCTTCAAACAGAACACTTGTGATTGTGAAGGCCCCTCTCGAAAGGAACAATCACTGAAACAACAATTATGAGCTTTGAGGGTTGCCCCGAAGCAGAACCAGCCCATGAATCAGCTTTAGCCTTATATAAAGAAATATAGTGGGTCTGCTGGCAAGGTAAGTACCAAAGACCCTTGAATATGTGTATATATATATATATATATATATTACCTTATACTATGCACACATTGAAGTATCATGGGCACCCTTCCCTTTTCCCGGGGTACGTGATCGAGCCCCTAGCTCGAGGGGCTCGATCTCATGGAGTCAGCGAGCGGCGAGACGCCCCGAGGTGAAGTTCAGATGAACAACGCGGTCATCAAGAGCCTTGTCAACAGAATTCTTCCCCAGAATTAGTTTTTTTTGCTTTTTTGGGGGTTCCCTTTGTTTGCCACTAGCCAGGCAAAAAATAAACAAAAAATGCTGGGATTTAATTCCAGCCAAGTATTAAGCCAGAAAACCCAATTGAAGTTTTGAAGAATTTACCCTCCCACCGATTGAACATGGAACCCGACCGGGGGTCCCTTTAACAGGAAAAGGGTCTTCCGGGGAACCCTTGTCAGGTTGGGAGGGGACTTGATGCTAAAGAGGGCTAAACGCGCATCCTCACCACACTGGGTATGGGATGATAGCGGGCGGGGAAATGGACTCTTAGAGGTGTAACTGGCAGCTCTGTGCAAATGTCATTCTGATGAGGTTAGGACCTCCCTTTTTCCGAACGTGACCTTCCAGTTTACTGGAGGCTTCCCTACAGCTTTCAGGATTCTGTGATGCCTTCTGATTCCCTAGCACTGGCTAAGGTGATTTGTCCTCACAGGGGTTTTGGGATGGGGGCCGGGACAGGTTGCTTTGCAGAGTTCGGTTCCATTGTCATCCAAGCACCTGACGTCCTGACGTTGGTGGGAATGGAGGAATCTTGACAAAAGCCATGATAAATCGTTGTTTTGCACGAACCCCCAATAGGGAGTCTTAGCCACGGCACACATAAGAGCTATGCTAGGTTCCAAATAATGTGTCCTAAAAGGTGCCCTACCAAAATAACTTTTTGCGGTTTCTGCTTTTCAACCAGCATCGCGAAGGATGTAAGGAGGTTGTAGCCGATACCAGCAAGCAGGTTTTGCCGTTTCCTTTTGGCTGCCCCAACCAAAGATCCCGCAAATGGCCCTTGGGTTTCCTTGTTTCCCTTGAAGCACCATAATCGGAAGGGATCCCAGCAGTAAGACGACACCACGCGTTGGGCTGGGGAGGCCGTTTATTGGAATGGGTCGGTTCCTTGAGCTCGTGTTCACTCATGTTGATTCACGTACGCCCTGTGGGTTGGATGTCCTGAGACACGACCCTGGATTCGGGATGAACTCGCAACACGTTGGCGCGTTTCCGAGCTCAGGCCCCAGGATTCGTCGCTTCCTTGGGGATACTCCAAGATGTGTCCAGGTGATACCTCATATGATAGATCATTGGCACTTACTGGATTCGAATCCCCAAACTGGTTGGTCCAGAGCCTCAAATATGGCCATTGACCTTTCTGGCATTCCAGCCTTTGCAGGCCTCCAGCTATTTTAGTTACATGGTGTCACTTGCCAAAAGGACCTTTTGACATTGTTTTTCTCCAGATTTGGCCAATTTTTGGTCATGGCCCCAAGAGTCTGGGAACTGGGCTACTGAGACTATAGGCTATAGGGGTATCGGGAAGTGCTGGGGCCAACATGTCGATCCCAGGAGGTCCAAGCAGCTCGAATGCCACCCTGTCGAGCGCTTCCTGGAGGAGTCGGGAGTCGGTGAGTCGGGTGATTTCCCTGAAAGGAAACAAGGAGATGGATTTGGATGTTTGTTTCTTGAAGGTACCCCTTTTGTTGGGCTTTTCAGTTTTGTGAATGTGTGTAATTCACAGTGATTCCATTTGCACATAGGCAAACAAGGTAAACAGCCTCTAAACACTAAAGGAACATTGTTGGTTGTCTTTTATGGTAATTGGGATCCACTGAGCAAAGGGGACGGATATCTTTTTAGTTTTCTTGATCTGGCACACAGGTAGGTAGCAATCCATTTTCACCTGTGTAAGTCTGCAACCGAAAAGTGGGTCGTTCAAAATGACTCGGCTACGGGATCCCCACTCGTGGTTTTCCTTCGGTTTCAGTTTCTGTTAAACAAAGAACGCAATGGGTAGACCCCCTTGCATAATTTGTCAACGGCCGGTATTTGAGGAAGCAATGGGGTCCACGCAAGACGAGCCAAGAATCCCCACACAGTTTCAGAGCGATGGCAAGGGGATCCATAGTGGCCCTCAATGGTCCTTAACGGCCCCCACTAATCACTGTTCGTCGCTAATAGTCACTACTATTAGGCTGGAATGGCTTCCCCTGATATGGCCCTGAACTGGAACAATAAATGTCCCAACCTTGTGACTGGCCCATCCCTCGTAAAACAGGTGCATTGAGTTGCCCTCCGGTACTGGACCTAGCCGTTCTATCTTCCGAGCTTGGGGGGGGGTTGTTAGGCCAGTCAGAGCCCTGGGGAATCGAATGTGCCAACGAGGGGTGTTCGACAAAAGTTTTGATGGTTTAATTTGCAAGGATCCATATATGTGTGAGTTTTAGTTAGAGACCCTTTGGTGGACATAATGATAGCCATATATGTCCACTTGTTTCACAGGTGAGTATGCGCTTGTCAATTAGTGTCAACTTCGCCCTGAGCAGGCTTCGATTGCCACAAAGCCAGGATCTGTTTCTGAAGCAGCTGCCAAGTCCCGGCAAAGGCAACGCATTGTGATTGCATAGTCCAGGTAGGTTCAAAGGCGGCTCTGGTTAGTTTCCGGGGACCCTCTCATGGAAGGGTCGAGCCAGGAGTGTGCCAACGAGTGGGACTGGTGCGCCGATTCCAGGTACTGGTCGGATGCAACCTCAAGTGCTCGGATCCTTTAGACACTATATACTCAGGATCCCAACCCCCCCTTTTCCCCAGGGCGTCAGGGGAGGGAGGTTTGGATCCGATATGAGTTTGATTTTCAGTTGAACTTGCATAGGGTTTAATGTTGTTAGCTCAGGAGGCTGCCCATCCAAGTCATCATGCCTTCGCGTGTTTTGCGTTCTGGCACGACTGGCATCAGCCAAATGGCAGTCGACGAGTCCAAAGCCCTTCACAGGTAACGGTTTCTTCGATTGTTCCCACCACTATCAATGCTCAATTCACTTATTTTCGGTTGTGGTTATTGATGTGTTTCTTGAAGATGAACTCAACATGAAACAGTGTGTTTCTTAGTTTCTGTGTTCAGTGATCAAAGTTGGAGTTCCCAGGAATTTCCTCTTGAACACCGAAGTATCCCGCGGTACCTTCTAACTTGTAAGGCCACAGTCAAAATAACCTATTTCTGAAGAGGACATGGGAGATGTAGTGACCACGTGCGTTTGTGTGTCCTAAATGGTGACAATAGACTCAACAGACTACTGGTAATTTTGAGCACACCTGTACTTTGACCCCATGTTGACCCCTTGCCTCCGTACTGTCGGTGCCAAGAGACCCTTTGCATAGTTTATTTCAGGTGAGAAAATGAGACCCTAAAGTCTGGCAACGTCGGAGTGCACTTGCCACTCGTTGTTTGCGCAGCAAAAGGTAAGACTTCCTCGAGATTCCAATCCTTTTCCGGAAAGGATTGCAAACGCTTCTTCCACGTTTCTTGACCAGCCTGGGTTTGCCCCTCCCAGAAAGAGTGAATTTCGTGGATGCTCCCAAACAATTTCCCACTGAATTGGGGGATTTCCCGACAACCAGATGCTTATCTAAAGATGTGTCCTCATTTGAGATTCAGTAGACAACCCCAACATTCGATGCTCAATTTGTAAGGCGGGACTCGCTAAATTTCCCACAGCCAGGGGGACTTACGACCCGGCCCACATCCTTGAAGTGCCGGATTTTGACTGTGGCTCATCATTCAGAATTCAGGTTTGCGTGGTTCGTTGATCAATAAAGGCGGCACCTAACTGAGCCGTCCAAAAGGGAACCAGCCATTCTTTTGATCCCCCCAATATTAGTATGCGTCAACAATGATTAAACCAGATATGGACCGCAGGTTTTAGTCCATGTTTCCATTCACCAGGCTTTTATTTTGGGTACCTATTTCTGACCCCCGTTGCCATATGTTGTGTTTCCCCAGGCACCTTAGCCTCAAGGCGTTGATAAGGCTCGTTTTTCTCCCCTGAGGTGGGAGGCGGGGGTTGGGGTTTGAGGTACGGAAAGACTTGGAAGGAGGAGGATCCGAGTTTGAAGGATCCGCCGAGCTATCCCTACACTCTGACCATGGCCACTCGGCCAACAAGAACTGCTGTGACATCTTTCATACGGGAGCTTCTCAAATTGCTGCACCCCTTTCTAGTTGGTATTTAAAGGGAAAGGAAAAGGAACCCTTCCATCGTTTGGGACCCGTATTTTTCAGAAATGCTTTATTGGGTTTGGAGCCATGTTGGCGGCAAAAAAAAAGTTTGAACTTGGTTTTGCCAAGCCCTCAAGTGAGACTTAGCCTGATATTTAATATGCTGCCACTACCCATTATAGCAGGCTTGTAAGTGTATAAACAATTTTGCCCTGGGCAGTGCTGTGGACAAAGTTCACGCCAGGCATCAGCAAACCATACTGAAGTTCCCCAAAAGAGGCTGGTGTTCTTGAACATTTTGCCAGACACCAGTGCCACCCGAAGAGAATCAAAATGGGATATGGACCCCCCCCGCTTCAGTTTCCCTTTGGATTCTCTTTCAAGAGCCCAGAAACAGGTACCCTCAAACAAGAGACGCCCATCTGGGAACAAAAGGCGACCTGCCCCCCCAAAAAAGGGTGTCTGCACTCCGGGAGGGTTCCTTCCTTCAGAAAAGGGGAACAGGCAAACCTCACGTCAGCCATAATCAGAACGGTGTTTTTCCAAATCGAGAACCCTAGGTGGGTATCCTGTTGGTTTCCCTTAGCCTTCCAAGGGTCGTAAAAGGTTCTCTTTGGGAACAGACCGAGCTGGGAAGCTTAGGAAAAAATCCCCATTTGCCTCGAGGCGGTGAATGTGCACTTGTTTGATCTTGGACTCAAAACCTTCCATACGAGCCCCTTTGCAAATTTAGATAGGGCCAAGGTGAGGATATAGATATGTGTTTGGCGTGTACTTGGTAGGTGTTGTTTTCTTCGATATTGCGGTTAAACCTTCAAAGATAATTGGACCCTTCTTCGGGAGGAAGTTTTTATCCAAGGGAAATCACGAGGGAAGGAATGCGATGCTTTGCTGAAATGGCTCGGTTTTGTTTCGAGGGTACTCATTCCAGGTTAGTAAGGGAAACCAAAAGGAATACCCGATTCAGTACCACCATAGGGTTTGAATACCAACAGCAGGCGCATGTTGAGAAGCTCTCAGACTCAGACCAAATGTCAACCCTCGATGAGTGAAGTCCCCACAAGATATTACGTACCAGTCTTTGGACTTGGGTGTCTCATTGTTGTAGTTGGTACCCCTTTTTGAACTGTTTGCAGGGAAACCAAAAAGGGAAGCCGGTCCCCTGCAACTTCTGTTGACCCAATCCACACGATCGGAAGTGAGCAAATGGAAAAGGAAATCTTTGGCTTTTCCTCATTCGATAGAATGCGAGGAACCTCCGTTGAGTCTCCACTGACGGGAATGTCTAGCACTTGCTGGACCCCGGCGTTTTTCGGGAGTCGATTGACTGGACAGCCAACCATTTGGTATATCTTGGGATCCTTCTTTTCAGAACTCCCGAGAAAAAGATAGCAAACAATCAGAACAGCAATATTCAAAAGGAATCTCAAAATTGTGTTTTTCAAGCATATTTCTTGAAGTGATCGACCCCTGGATTAGATGTTTCATGAATTCTCTGAGCTTCAGGCAATCCATATTGCTTTTTCGACCTGAGGTCAAAGACTACCTTCGAAGTGCCGGGCAGTCTGCGATAAAGTCATGAGCTCGACCAGTTTCGGGGGGTAAGACGAGCGACTTGACCCAGCCCTTTGTAAAAACGTTCCTTGTCAGGTGTTGGAATGAAATCATAGATCTGTTTGTTTCTCATATTGCGAATTTGAGACAACTCGTGCAGATGGGCTGAATTCGCCAGAATCTGCGACATTTCGAGAAACTAGCCAAGCAATCGTGAGCAGTTCATGCTGATTTCTATCCCAGTGTGGGTGCAAGCTTGTTTTGGTTCAGTACGTGTTCAAAACCGATCAGTTGTTCACCCAGCAAACTCCAAGTACCACTACAGTAGGGAAGCCTTTGCCATGTTCATTGGTTCTGTACGTGGTTTGGTCGTTTACTTGGTTACCCTTTTGGGGGTGTCTCTTGGCTTCCCCTTTCGCGGTTGGTTTCCCTCTTGAAACCAAGAGGAGGCCACCCCTTGGGTGTCCATTTCAAGACCCGAAAAAAGGTAACTGGACGCATGGGGTCAAGTTGGTCAGGCCATTCTTTTCGAGGCTGGACACTCGCGAGCCCCCTTGAGCTGGGCGCATGTTAACGACCCCACTGCGGCCTGTCAGCGGAGCAGATTTTTAAGCAGTTCTGATATACGGTCTTCCTAAGGCTTCTTTTGTCATATCATATTGAGGGGCTAAATAATTAGATAGAAGCGATGCTTTCCTGTGATCATGAGGGGTTGTACTAAATGATCCCTTGACTTCTGTATATAATACGTCAGGTACCAAGAGATGACCAGAGTGGAGCACAGCGGTGTCGTTGGGAGGATCTGTGGGCCCCCACAAAGCCCAAGCAGCCCCTGAAGCACCCCAAAACCAAGTCAGGAAATTTTCCCGGAACTTGACTTCCCGACTTCTCTTAGGTTTGTCCCAAAACAGGAAATGGGACCTTCAGGAACACATCATTGTTTTGTGTTGCCCTTGTCCTCAAGAAGGCTACCCATACAAACATGGAACCTGAAAGCGGGTCCTTGCTAGAGGAACTTCGTCTTCCAGGGCGTTTCTTTGAGCTTCCATTGCTTGGGAGGTTACAGTCATAGGTCTCCTCTTGGTTGTCCTTTGGAGAATCCTCACAAAGGGTACCTAGGCCACTTTTCCAGGCGGAAAATGTACAACTGTGGGGGGGTTCTGTTAACAGGTAGATGTAACGAATCGACCCCACACTGTGTCCGCCCACCGTTGGCATGCTCCGGTTCGTTTGTCGGTTGCAAAGACGGCCTCCCGCTCGACACAGTGACATGCGTGAGAAAAGAGTTGGGAGCGGGGGAAGTGGCTCGCTTCCCCAGATCACAGTGCTCACGACTTGGGGCCGGGGGAATTCATCCGAGACATGAGGTGCTGGGCTTACCTTTTGGGTCAAACCTGGCGAAGGACAACTTTTGGTCAAACCGTCCGGACTTTTTGGTCAACACGTTGTACTGAGTACTTTCTAGTTTAGGCTTGTTTTGGCAGGAAGTGAGTCCATAGATGGCCCCTAGATGGCCCTGCAGGCCCCTTGAACCCTCTTTGCCCGCGTCTCGCCCAACTTTTGCTATGAACCGCTGAAATATAAACCAAGCCCCCTAGGGGCTTCCGTCTTTCTTTGGTGTCAGGATTGTGCTGCTGGATTTCAGGTACCCTTGGAACAACCCCGTTTTGTAGACCCCAAGGTTTTTGCTTTCAACACTCGATCCCGCTTGTTCCAGCTTCCACAAAAGCATTGGCATTTTAAGAAGGTCGAAAGGGCGGTTGTAAACACTGGTTGTAACTGGGACCACCCGGCTTTGCTTGCTACGGGTTGATAACTGTAACTGACTAACAGCTTATTTCCGTGAGTGTTCTTTGCTACCTTTGGATTTGTTTTGAGGGGTCCAAAAGGAGTCACTTGGTACATCCTCACAATCAAGAAACCCTTGAAGTGTATGACCATGTGGCACTGTGTGTTTGTTTCAACATGGAGTGAGCGACAATTAGATAGCATATGGGCCCCCAATTGCAGCCCAGCCATTTCCTGGTTGAAATCTCATGTGTGCTAATTTACCTATTGGCTATGCTATTCGATTCTTACTCATTAGGGATGCTTGGTCGCAAAAAGGCAAACCCAGGCAGGGCATGCGTGGAGATTGAGATGCCCCCCACGAATTTTTGTTTGGTTCATTTTAGTTACCAACCTTAGGGTATCACAAAAACACATTCGACACTCGTGTGCAAACTAGCCCTTCTCAGGTTGGATTGCACCCTTCGGGTTGGTGTCTAAGGAAAGCAAACAAAGCGAACCCTTCGGGTTGGTGGTCTAAAAAACAACAAAGCGAACCTGTTTGCGTTTTTATCCATGGGCAAGCCGATGGCCAGGCCGCTCTTCACCGCACTCCTGCGAGATGGCCAGGAGCACTCGGGCCAGGCACGGAAAGTCTAACTTCTCGGTGAAAATTGATTCGTGGTGTGGTAGTTGGAGGTCCTTGCAGTCTCCTTCAAAAGTCTTTGGGTTGGACGATTTCTCGAAGAATCGGGATCTATATTTGTTTGGTGTACCCCAGTGGGCCAAGCTGTGGGAGGGACGTGAACCGAACTTACTATGTTTCCAATTCAGAGGACCCACGAAGTTTCCCATCAAGAAGGGGGCCGAGCTCTAAACAGGGGGTCCTTTTTTGGGTACCCCTTGTTTGTGGCTTTTAAAGGGACACCACCAGGAAAATCACAATTGTTGGGATCTCCAGAAAAACAGACCACCCCAAAATTTCCACCACGCAAACCATGGGGCGAGCCCTTTACTTTGCAACCCTGTCCTGGTTGGAATCGCAAATCATTTTGACGGTAGCTCAGATGGAGAGTAGTCAAATGTTAGGATCCCGGCGGCACCTTGCGCGCCACCAAAGTCCAACTCCCCATATCCATGTTTTTAGTAGATGGAAGCAGGATCTTGAACCCTACCGTAGAAATGACTGAGTGCTTTCTCACCATGTTTCATGTGTTATTCGTAGTTGAGTTGCCAAACTTACAAGTTGTGTTATATATATATATATAGTGGCTTCTCAAAATGGTGAACAGCTTGGAACCACCCATATGTTCCACCTTTTTGTTCCACGTCCAAGCCTCCCAAATGGACAATCAGCCAGGATTTCTCTGGTTCAAACAGGGTTCGCCATGCCTTTTTTAGCTTTGGTTAAAAAGTAGATGGGTTCCATTCTGGTTTCAGCATGGTGTTATATATTCCATCCACTTTCCAGGGGAACCCGTCACCTTGTCCAAAGGGTTGCCTATCTTCAGACGTGCCGCCGCCTTAGAAAAGCATCGGTGAGCGCAGGTGCTGAGCTGCCTGGGGAAGTGGCGGATGATCCTGGGCCTGGCGAAGGCGGAGAGTGGCAAGCCCGCCCGCCCTCGGCCTTTCTGTCGGCTGGACGAAATCCGTTCAAAGCGACCGTTCAGAAACGGAAATTATTTATGAGTCCCTGGTAAATACCAATGAACAACGGGAAACCCCATTGTTCCCAAGTGCGAAATGGATTTTGTCCATCCACAGTAGGTGTCCGTTTTGGTGGGTTTTGGTGGAAAAATGGATGGGTTCCGATTTCCTGGTTTACCTGGTGCTTTTTATCTCATCTACCAGGGAAACCCATCTATTTGCCCTGAAAGGACACCTATGTTGGCGAGCCTTTCGTATTTTTCTAGGGGTAGCTTCCATTTCCATTCTTTCCAGGGATCCTTGTTTTCAGGAAACCATCCAAAAACCTAGGGGAAACAGATCCGGTTTTGGAGAAAAGAACGATGGTTGAAAAGAATGGGGGATCAACCACTAGATATTTGGGCTTAACAGGAAATCTAAGGTTGAAAACCAAAATGCCAAAATTGGTTGCAAGCCCTCGGTTTTGTCTCTTCATGCCACCAGTGAAGAACATTTGGCTGAGATGGTTGCTTGCAAGCCCTCATGTTTTTTCTGCAAGCCGCCCTGAGGCTTAACGGGAAATCTCGAGTTGAACACCGATCCCCAAATTGGGCGGCCTTTTTGTGATGAACTTCTATGAAGGGTTTGCCTTTTTTCAGACTCCTGGGATCCAACGGCGAAGCCCTTGGAACGAATGGACCATGGTTGGTTTGCTTTTGACTCAAGTGGCTCGTTTTTTAAAGCTACCCCCCAAATTGGCTGCGGTGTTCCTTTTGGTTTTCTATCAAAAACCGAGAAAGGATGGAAACTCCAAAAAGAAGGAGCCACCCAAATGTTTGAGGATGCTGTCCCTGGCTATCGCGTTTTCCGTGTGCCTAGGAGCAGCTTCTGCTTTGGTTCAAGCTTTGCGCTTTGATGCTGAGCCAAAATCAAATCCGACATGGACAGTGGGGGCACAGTGCCAACCAGCGGAAAGCGATGGTTTGATTCCTTATCAGGTCCCCCAGTTGTGCCCTTTCTCACCCCTTTTTTGGGGGAGGGTTCCCCTACTGAAATAGACTACAGAAACAAAAAACAGAGGTTATTCTCACCGCTCTGGACCTAGCTGGGTTGTGAGCTTGGCCGCAACTCCAGGCTTCGAACACAGGTCTTTCGATGGGATGCGAATGCCTACATCAAGCGGCGCATGTGAGAGTGGTTCGCCGAGCGCGGCCAGATATCCGGGCATGGAGCCAATAAGCCGTGAAGCCAAGAAGCAAGTCTTAGCCGTAGCACTGAATCCTTGTTTCTCTTCTGTGTTGTGATCCTCCTTCAGCCTGCAGGTTGAATCCCTGAGCGTTTGGGCTTGATTATTTTTGAACAGCTTCCTGGGAAGCAAAGCGCTAAGCTTTTGTTTGGGCAAATCACAGAATCCCAAGCCGGTATGGAATGAAATCCCAAGCTTTCTGTACCGCACAGGGTCCGGATTCCAGCGGGCAAAATGAGGTTTCACCCTGCGGGCGGGTTTCCAGGGCCGATACATATGGGTCTGCTATGGTTTTGTTGGAAACCCACGCTTCTTTCTTGTGAAGCATGGTGAAGCCCAAAGGAAAGATACATTTGAGGGGAGTTTCTTCTTGAAGCGAAAGCACTACT